GGTTATGTATTAAAACTTTTAAGTTAACTTGAACACAGTAGGACAATGAAAATGTCAGTTTTGCAACGGTGATAGCAACATAAGAATCTATCATCTCCAGAATTTCTTATAAAGTTTAAATATTTAAACAAGGTTTTCTTACGACGAACAATTGTATGTCAAAGATTTAGAACGTCTCATCCACATTTGAGCAGAACTTTATTAATTAATTGATTAATATATTTAAATTAGCCCTAGATCATATGAATTAATATTTAATGCTAATAAAGCAAATTCTGTAGTCTTTAAACCTTCTCGTTGGTTTGTGTGAAGCAATTAATTGTGTTTTATTCGAGAAGTGTACCCATATAGATATATGTTACTGACTCAGAGCTATTTGTATTGTTTTCATAAAAACGAATAAACAATCTGTCTTTTAACAAAAGTAATTGCCAACATGTTAATTAATACCTGCTGATTTTGAAACGAAATTGTTGCCTCACCTAACGAAAAGACCACGAGCCGCTACTGATAGGGTCGCAGTAGGTCATGTAAACGTGTCGCCTCTCAGATTTAACTGTACGGAAATCCGTACTAAGTGCCCAAAGACGCATGACAAAAATCACACATATGTATAACTGGTTGCCTAAACGCTTCATATGTTTTTAGAAAATAAAACTAATTCATTACAATAAAAAGAAACAAATTTATTCCGGTTAAACATTACAGTAAATGTTGAAAATGTTCATTAGTCTATTCAAGGCACATGTTCACTCTCTTTTTAATTTCAAAAATGTTCTGTAACATCCTTTCGTCAATACTTTGGGCCCGTTGTTTAATTGTTCAATTCTGCTTAAGTCATCTCAAATCATCAACAATTTCCTCAGATGAAGTCTTCCACGAGCTTTCTCTTTGTTGATACTGCCAGTTCGAACAAATCTGTTGATTGCATATCTAATGTGGGCCTTTAACGATGTTTCTTGAATTATTAAATCAGAGTATTTGGCCAGATATTCTTGCTTACAAGCGGTTACAGAATACACATACTCTTCGTTTACGAAGTCCCATTACGGAACAAGACATAACGATGAAAGTGTCTTGTTCAACAGAATAAACCATTTTCACAGTTTTGTTGTTTTGAGCTTGGATCAACGAGAATTACTGCAATTCGCACTTGAAAAACATTAAAACAATAAAAACGCCGACGTTAAATGACATGTCACAAATGACATTAGACATTAATGTGACAAGTGACAAATGAGAACTGTCATAATGATGCATAATCACGGGCATAATTTCAGCGAAGCGGGATTTTTGAAATCCATGGCCAATTACGCCCTTAGAGTCATTTATAAAAGCCCTGCATTATGTCTTATTCATTTTCATTCATATAATTTGACAGGCGGAGGATTTTTAATTTTTGAGCAAATAATACAGACTATTTAGTAATAATAATTAGGTTATGACTAGACAGCGGATTTCTGTCGGGCTACGTCACGATTATAGGTGGAGACGCGCTGCATCGCCGGGACTCAGTAGCGGGTGATAGGTAATCACTGAATTTAATTGTCATTTGATTTCATAAATACAATTAACGATTTATTAATCAAACGGCTAAGTAAATGAGAACTGGAATTAACAGCAGAGTGCAACGAAGCAGCGTTATTCTAATCTCAAATAAACGAAGTACAGCCGGTAACTGCAATGAATTCCCATCCCGAACGAGCCGTACCGAGTTTGGCCTTGTCTAGCCCGACAGAAATCCGCTCCCTAGTTATGACATCGTGTCTATTTAGTTGGGTATACGAATTTACTGTTAATTTGAATAAGAATTACAGGAAAAAACTGTTTTAACAAATTCGTTTTAATAAGAAACTAAAATTTCAACGTATGTTTATAGCAATGTTATACATAAATACTGTAATACGAACGCTCGAAAAACAATAATGTAACCGTTTATTAAAAAACTGTAATTTATTATTAATAGTTATAATGTTTATAACAACGTTTTATATTCACGTTTAGGAAATGTGCTATTGTATTAGATAAATAGTAAATAAAATTTGATGTTTTAGTCAAAAACTATTTTTTTCAAAAATTAGCATAAACATTATATTTTGAAAACGATAGCACTTTTATTAAATCCGTCTTAGGCCAATTGGTAAAACATTCACATTCTAGTCGGCTTCAGGCTTCGGGTTTCGGGTTCGAATCCTTGCAAACCCAACTGTTTTTTTTTATTTTATTATTCAAATTCTGTAATATTGCGAAATTCTTATGTATAGACTATCATAAATTGTAACGGACAAGTCAAGACTTAGGCAGATAATTAATAACTAAGTATTTTTATTGAGAATGTAGTTGTTCTTAACGCTGAACTGTTTTTTTTTTCATTTGCTTACACATGCATTATTTAAGGTTCTGGAAGGCACGAAGATAGAGAGCAAATGAGTGAAAAAAGTGAAAACATTTCTCAGTTTTGGGATTCGTTCCATCAATTGGGGAATTACAGTAATATCGAACAGTAATGTGTTTAACATTAATACACATTAAAGACAAGTCCCATTAATTCAGGATTGATGGTCACATGACCATCAATCCACCATAATTGACATCAATTATTATTCTCATCGATAGATACATACCTATAATAATCGGTATAAACTGTCGTGAAAGAGGAGATGCTAATAGACGTCATCAATTTTTTGGATGGACAAGTAAAAATATTTGGAATAAAAACTTATCATGTTTATCATAACTGTAAACCATCTGCAAGATTTCAAAGCATTCGGTTTTGCAGATTCCAAATTAAATGTCAAAATGTTGTTTACTAATTTTGATTTTTTTTCCAAAAATGTGGACTTTTCGGATAAAAACTCAATTCGGAGTCATAAACTACATGTGTGTAAGACTGTTATTTTATAAAATTTAAGACCCATTTACTATGTACAATTTCGAAGTGATATCACATTATTGGTGGGGATGATTGGATAAAAATCGAGACGGCAGACGGACGGACAGACAGAAAACGGGAGACTTATTTCTTCGTACTCTAGGGGTCATGAAAGGTCGAGAAAACCTAAACTTAGAGAGTCGGCACACGGACTCGATTACAATACTTCCTTTGCTTATGCCCAGGAAGTAAAGTAAAAATATTATGGCAAAGTACTGAAATGTAATTAACACAGAAAAATATTTTCCGGGTTACGACCGTCTCAGTCTTGAAAAGGGTTTCGACGTTTCGCTCACTTTCCTAAGGAGGATCCTCAGAAAATAGAAGATAAGAAGGAGGAAAAGTTCCGGAGACAAGAACCACACTGAGGGTAAATCTCTTAAAAGAAATTTTCGTTATTCTGATGGTTCTTTATTTCCTAAAGATATCCCTTACGAAAGTGAGCGAAATGTCGAAGCCCTTTTCAAAATTGACACGGTCAAACCGAGAGCCTTCATGTTATATCAAAATATTGTTAAATTTTAATAAAAATTGTGTAAAATTTTCTCTTACTGTCTATGCATTTGAACTACAAAATTTATAGAATTAAATAATTATAGAATTATATATAATTTCTGTAAAATTAATTTAAACATTTTATTTACTGTTAAATGAATACGATAGTGGAATAATACGAGATTATTCACACAACATTTTGCATTTTTTAATAACAACAACTATATTACTAAATATAAATAACTATTCTTGAGTAAACTAAGAAAATCTGTTATTTGCCAACAATTAATACGTACATTTGTTTACAGCATTTGAATGAAATATATTTAGATAATTTTATGAAATTACATATTATATTTTATCATTATCAGTTTTGATGAGCGAAATTAGAATGAAAGGTACATATCATCGCAAAAAAAACAATTTAACATATCTTATCACACTCTTACCTCTTACCGAAAACATTGCAATGTAAGAATCACAATATTATTTCATGTCATTGTACATAAACCTCACGAAACCCGGATCCGGATCTGGACCAGCAACACAAATAAAAATGCGGATATGAAGCTTTTGGAAACGGATGTTTTAATAACTGTTCCGGAACTGTAGAGCGCTGATTATTAAAAATTTGTTACTCTGTACATACGAACGGAGGTATGGTATAACGCTTGGATAAATTTTCAAAGCGAAAGAATTTCCAATTGTAACTGATTTTGTGTGTAATTTAAGCAGTTTACTTACCTACTGTGTACCGGGAAAAGAAAATGTAAATTTTACTTCAATTAGAGGAAACAACTGCTGCGAAACAGTATTCTTGAGATGTAGTAGATAAACCTAATTAGGTAAGGTAATTTCGTATTCCATTGGACGTGTACACATATCTAAAGACACCACTACATTGCACTACCGGATTATTATACATGGTGTTATGGCTGTAACTACGTGATGTATTAATTTGTGTACCTGCAATGCTAGAGGCACTTATGCGTGTAGTAAGGGCAAATTTAGATTAATGAACGGAATAAATAAATTGAACTTGTTTACTTTGAAATATTTAGGGCGTATATTTTGTGCAACCAATGACTCTTTTTACGGACAAACGGTTCTCCGTACCTTGATGTAGTAGTTAATTAGTACAAAAGCGAAAACAGAACGGAGGGCGTAATATTAAGTTAACTGCTGATAAACAATTGGATACTTTGATTATTTTGATAACACGATATTTTCTATTATTAGTGCACCCAATTTCAGGTACGCTGTTTTGTCAGAATAAAGTAGGTATGTAAAATTTAAAAAAGCAGCGAATATTTAAGGAAAAACCGGTTTTACATTTGACTACTTATTATTTTAAGTATCACTGTGCAAGAATTCAAAGTTCACGTCAATCGTCTCGTATTTCCGGCCGAAATAAAATGAGCCATAAAATAAACTTTCCACGTAATATTATCTATTTTCCTTTGATACATTTCGCAATATGTTACGCCCACGATTTGTCTTCTGGCGTAATGATTTAATAATAACCGCACGGCTAGCAAAAAACGGACTTTGGAGAGAATTTTTTCTTTTACAGGAAACCTGTCACAGACGATGTGAATTGGCCATTGTACACAAAAGATCAGCCACAGTATTTTATTTTCAACGCCGACAAAAACGGAATTGGAAAAGGTCCTCGAGCAACGGCTTGTGCTTTTTGGAACGATTTCCTGCCGAAACTTCGGGATAATCCAGGTAAATACTTCATTAACTGTGCACTCATAACTATTGTTTATTTTATAATGCATCTTAGCGTCGAACAATTTGCCGCTGAGAATTTTACTTGCAAAGCTTGGAATCAAAATCAACGTTAAATCTTTTGGGCTTTCACTACTAACTCATAATGAAATTAAATAGACTTTGTGTGTGACGTTGAAGATGTGCGAAAAGAAAGTAAGCTAAGTTTTCTTAAAATCGTTAATACGTGTTAAAATTTTCATTGATTGCTACATAGATATAATATCAGTTCCAAATTGAGTAATTAAAAAAAAAAGTATAATACACAATAATAAAGATTTAACAATGTAGCGAAATTTTGTATTTAAACAGTCTTAAGCATAAGGTAATTTCATCACTTTCTTCACAAATTTTCATTTCTGCTTAAAAGTCTTTTCTGTTTTTTAATACTCCTAATCAAAAATTAACGATTTTGAAGTAAGGGACCTACAGAAGTATGTAATGTTTTGAACAAATCTTATTCACTTAAAATAGTCCCTTCTAAAGACCCTTAGAAGGAATCCTTAAGATTTTTGAAACTTCAGACTAAACATAGGTATAAAAAATTTCATCTTCAATACTTCTATATTTTGTCTAAATATTCTCTAGTATTTTATAGTAGGTACACCATTGACGTTACATGTATATATAAATTTAAAATTGAAAAACGAAAATAAAATTTGTGCAAAAAAGCGTGGCTATACCACAAATTTACATTTTATTAATGGTTAAATGCATCCGTGGACACAAGAAATTATTTAATCAATATTTTAGCGTGTATAGATTTCCATTAAAATTAAGAAACAAGTTTAGGAATATGTTATTTTATAAAAATTAAATAGGATTTCCACGCAAAATATTGAGGTGACCAACATTTGGATGACGATGATGAGACAAATTTGGTTAACGTTCTGCCATCGAAACAACCATCTTAAAAAATAGTTAATAAAATCATAAAATCGACCCTTTCACAAAACTTCCTTACGCTAAAATGGAGGGATATAAAACTAAATCGATTCGTTAGGATATTTTTCCAAATTTGATTCCTGATTTTTTATCGAATTTATTCCAAACTTTATGAACATACTGTAGATAACAAAAATTATTTACAAAATGAGATAATTAGATTGGATATAGTCATAGTTGAATGTGGTGTTAAATCGACTTTATTTCCAGTCACTGCATTTCGAAATGGTCTGTTTAGCAGATATTATACTCTACATGCCATAAACCACCACTTTGATTAAATCTGTAAATCCATATCGTTGAAAACCAAATTATCTAAATCATGTTTTACGTTGAAACTATTATGACGTTACAGCAATGTACTCCACTAAAGGAGGTTTTGTAATAATTCTATTCAGTAATTTATTTGTGAAATTTACTGGCTAAACACAGTCGGGTCAATCTAACAAGAGTCGCACTTATCTATAGACCTTTACAATTTGAACAACAATTATATTAAAAGTTATTTAAATAAGTATAAAATCAAAGAGCAGTCAGCCATAACGTAGAAAATTACAAAGTAATATCACCATCCACAACGAATTTTGGAAACAATAGCACTGAAAAAATTTACAAAAAAATTTTGACAAAACTTCCTTCGCTCCTGAAGTACAATAAAACATATCCACCTTTTTCGAAAAATTATAAAACTTTACTTCTCGAATTTTATTTTTTATGAGAACCTCTATAAGTTAAAATAAAGATATGTATGTAAAGTTAAAGTAAATAATGTAAGTGCTACGCGTATGTTTCAAATTAGTTTTTCCTTTACAAAATTTTGTGCCTTTAACATTTTTGCAAGGATATGTATATCAATTTGTACAGATGCAGTATAATACTAATAATAACAGTATTGTATTAATAAAATAAATTGATCCATTTATTTTTTTTCACCTTGTATTTTAGAAAATATTAATGTAATGACAAATCACATGTGTTCAGGACATTCATTCATTCATAATATTTTGGACATTTTCAAAGGGAATTATTAGGGAAAATTTCGAGATGACGTCATCAATTTTTTAGAAGGATAAACAGGTATACTTTGACTACAAATTTAACATGTTTACGATAAGTTTAAAACATTTTCAAAATTTCAAAGCATTCCATTCTGCAGTTCCTGATATAATCAATAAAATAAATTGACTCGTTCATTAATCTTTTGAGACACCCTGTATAAGCAGTCCTAAACAATATGAATGCAATGAAAATCACAAGCATAGACTCATTATGTTTTATATATTTTCAGTATGATTTATTCGGCAACATTCTGAGATGACGTCATCAATTTTTTGGAAGGGAATAAATTTGTTTTTTTTTATCTATTTAATTATATTAGAAGTTTACAGAAAGGATAAACCTATATTAACTATAAACATAATAAGTATTAAAAAAAGAAAAACAGTGCAAAAAGCCTGGTCAAGAAACACATCTAACAATTTTTTAAATATATTCATTGATGGAGCGTTTACTGCTTCCTCTGGTACATCATTCCACATATTAATAACTCGGTCAGACCAAAAGTTTTATCTAGGTAGTGTTCTAAATTGTGGTTTCAAAATTGTTGGGGAATGACCACGAAGCTGGGAAGTTTTATTTAATACAAAAAGATTGATATTGGACAATTCCCTGAAGGTACTAAAGGTTAGGATAAGGTCTCCTCGTTGGCCGCTTCTGTGCAATGTCGGCAACCTCGTAAAGGCTAGGCTTTCTTCGAGGCTGAATTTCCTAATTGAATAAGGAGTGAATTTAGTAACTCGCCCTTGCACACGCTCTAAAATATTTATGTCATCCTTTATTATTATTTTTCAATAACAACCTTTATTTAATACGCGTTACAATGTAAATAACGGTCTAGGGCGTTATTTTTGAAATTAATAGGCCCTAGGGCGTTATTTTTCAATATTCAGAAATTATAGTAAGAGTAATGATAAAAATGGAACAATAACGTACTTTATACAAATTTATTCTTTTTGCTTTATTTCAAAAGTACAATTAGTAAAGTGACCTGAAAAATTAACAGCTTTGGAATCTGTAACACTTGAAAATTGACTTGACGTTTTGATGTCAACTGACTTGTTTACGTCACAAGCTAAACGAGCATTCTTCCGTTTGGAACATTCGCTATCATCCACGTATCCTTCTGCCACTGTGGAACTTTTCCAACCTCCTAGTTGCTTCAAATTTAATACGCTTCCTCCAGCATCGGCATGTAATATCGCAGCAGTTCGTCGCAGGCAATGACCAGTATAGCTTTTAGCATCAGGCAAACCCAAAAATGTGGCGATCTTGGATGGTATAGCCCCTATAGTATTCTCACCCACAGGTTGTGCAGTACATCGACCCCCACGTAGGCATAAAAAAAAATCTGTCATTTGTCTCATGTAATGGTCGACGAGATATGTAGCTGCGAATCAACCGCAAAGCATCCATTTCGTTGTCCTCAATGACCATGAAGCTTCTTGGTTTATCATTTTTCGAAGCTGGTATATTGACGAGTATGTGTTCACCCATATCACGAACATAGCTGCGCTTCATTTGTACAAGCTCATCCCTTCTACACGCTCCAAACACACCCATCATCAAAGCGACTTTAATCATCAGAAAAGATTCAACTGAAGCGTTTTTAAGGAACGTTAAGACCTGTTCCCGTGTTAGTACCTTTGATTTTTTTGGTTGGTAGCCTTTTGAGCGTTGCTTTAAATAGGCTTCCAATTGGGAAAACTTTTTAGCACTATTCACCACTTTTTTAACCATTAATTCTTTCCTTAACATAGAAAATTTAGTCCACAACGAATTCGGAGAAAAATCCGCAGTTAGCTCTTGAAAATAATCAAGCAGAACGGTTTCATTTACGGTCTTTACTGAATTGTCGTTTGTCCATTGAATGAAGCGGGAATATTCTTTTACGTAAACAGATTTCGATTTCACTGGAATTATTCCTTCCACAGCTTTTGCAGCACTTGCCAAAACAACAACGCCGTTGCTAGTGACCAAGGTAGGTCGATTTTTTCGTTAAATTACGGGAATAAGCTTTTTTTTGGAATGTTGTGTTTATTTATAAACTTTTGCTGGTAAGGATGACATAAAATGTTGAAGGCACCACGGGGGTTATGAACATAACACCCTCGGCCGACGTACTTTCCCTCGGGCGGGACGCCCTCGGAAGTACACTGTCGACCTCGCGCGTTATTTATTTCATAACGCCCTAAATACCTTAATAACTATTATGTCTTTAACAAATTAGGGGTTCCAAACTGTTGCGGCAAATTCAAGAATTGCTCTAATATAAGTACGATGTAGCTTGCTAACTGTGCAGGGATTTAGGTTCCAAAAAGAGTGTTTAATGAGGTGGATTAAAATATTGGCTTTTTTAACTACTGTAGTGATGTGTTTTTCCCATTTGAGATCTACTGAAATGAGGACACCTAAGTCCCTCTGATGGTCAGCGGGGGGCAATTTAGGTCCTGCGATTTTATAAATGAACTTGGGATTGCTTTTACCTAGGTGAAGCACAGTGCAGTTTATTTTATTTATTGGCAGGAGCCATATTAAACACGAAGAAAAATAGATTCCAAGTCCCTACAAAGTTGGTTATAGTCGGTTAAAGGGTTAGCATATAATTTGGTATCATCGTCAAACATCGCGATTGTTGTAGACAAGTGAGAAGGTAAATCAGAGACGTATAGGAGAAACAACAGTGGACCCAAAACGGAGCCCTGAGGAACTCCGCTTAGGACCGGTCAACTTTCACACAAACTATTACCCACTCTCACAAAAAAATATCTCTTGGAGAGATAAGCATCAATCCACCGCAACAATTTACCTCTAACGCCAAAATGTTCAAATTTCAAAAGAAGTCGTTTTACTGGAACTTTATTAAAGGCGCGGGCAAAATCTAAATAAATTATGTCAGTGGTACAGTTATGATCCATATTAAGATTCCAGTCACTTAAACAGCCTAATAAGTTAGA